TAATGTTTTGACTCTATATATATCACTCAGTATAAAAATGACCTCCCTATAAATATCAATTTCAAATATTCAATGTGATATACCTCTAGATTATCCATTCCATTCGTCAAGATAAATATTAGGTAGGTGAATTCAATTTACATCTTTCTAAAAAGAAATTGTCTACCCCATACTTGCTAACTATGGTCTACCCATAAGCACCCGAAAAAATATGCACCATATCCATAGTTGAGAACCAGATAAAGTTGCTTGAGAATAAAAATAAAAGTAGAATTAGAAATTTCATAAAATAGGAAAAAAATATTGAACTTTCCATTAAAAAAAAAAAAAAATCAGAGTTTTATATAAGGCGTAACCTTATTCTATAGTAGTTGCACTTTAAAACTCCACTGAAAAAAGTTGTTCTGACGTTGGAAACCTTCTAATGGATCATATTGACCTTGAGAGGTAAAGATTCAAAAAAATGGTGAAGTTTGTATAAGTTGTCAGCTTTAAACAATCACACAAGGTACACGTCAAAATCTTATTAAAATATACATTGTAGAAATCTAAATCGCTTTTCACCCATGTAAATTTAAAGCACCAAATATGGTACAAATCTAGTGGAATTATAAATACTCAAATTTTTTTAAAATGGAAGGTTTAGATAATTTGTAACAAGAAACACTTTTTTTCATATTTGAAATTTATCATTTTTTTTTATCTGTACATATTGAGGTTTTTTCGGTGAGATTTTAAGTTGCATCTTATTTCTAACTTATATAATTTTTTTCCCTAAAAATATGGGATCTCAAATAGAAAAAATAGTGCATCTTAAAGAATCATATTATCTAGACTGTCTATTTTCAAAATTTTTTAGTGTTTATAGATTTGTCCAATCTATGTTATTTTTAGAACTTTAAATTTCATAGTATGACTTGAAAATAGATTTTCAAGCTAAAGGAGAGGGTTCGGCAATTGAACTATATCTTTAAGCATATTTTAGAAATGCACCTTTGATTGTTTAAGGTTGACACCTTATACAAACCCCACCCATATCACAGCACAATTCATTTTTCAACTATTTAACTTTTGCCTTTTTAGTTCTATTCCAACTCCAAATCATCTAAATTTTGATGAGATTTTTTAAATTAAATTAAAATAGATGGGTAAAATGTTAAATATCTTGAATGTTGTAAAAATTTCCATTTTTCTAATAGCATAGTAATTCCTGTAATCTCTCCATTTCATATAACATAATCTAAGAGTACTTTTAGGAACCCAATTTTTTTGGAACGCAACCTCTATCAACCTCAAAAAAACATGAAATTTTTTTCAAAGGCCTCTAAGAGGAAATAAATAATGTCATGATGTAATTTTTGGACGTTCAAGTGCTTGAGAACTCGGAATCCAGCTTTTCTAATAATCAGGAGATTTGAAGATAGATTCTGGAAATTTAATTGAAAAAATCATCCAAAATAGTTCTTCCACCATAGAGAATAAATGTACAGCATGGTCCCCCAGCACCATTTTGTAGAGACTCATTAACATTTATAAACAGCATAGTAAATGAGTGTGGTGTACAAAATTTTATTAATGCACCCGTGTACGATATTGCATGATGGGTTATATGAAGAGTACATATATTATGCTCCTTCTTGAGTATAGTTTACTTCTACCCCTCGATCAAAAGACTTGGGAGGAGTTTTGCTATCTAAAATTTTGAGAATCATATTTAAGAATTACCCGATGACTATTCTAAAAAAATTTGAAGTTGAGTATTCTCATACTTAGCTATGATTATGATTATCTAAAAATTCTATGGTCCCCATTCAATCTCAAGATATTATTTTTTTGACGTGCATAGAGGATACAATTACATAATTCTTTTATCCACGTCAACCTATGGGCAAAGTTTGCGGCTCCTAAAATTAATTCCAAGTGCTGTTTTACTTGAAGGAGTAAATGATCTATTTTGGCGTAAATATGGATAACAGAATATTTAAAACAATGTTTGGGTTGCAATAATATGACAGATAAAAAGTGACTAATCTACCCCCGGTAACTAATTCAGTAATAAAGAAGAGAATGCCAGGAAATTCCCTGGAAATATCCAGCAACGGTACAGTGCCCTGTTGACCGGCCCAAACTGTGAACCATGGGCCGGGAATCGGCGATAACCGGTTACTATAATCAAGGAATAGCTGGGACCCCTCCTCCCATGATCTCATCTATAAATATCTGCTCCATGCTGCTTCTCATTTTTTCTCTCATTTCCTGTCAACTTTCTCTCTCTTCTCTCTGCCATTCTTCCTCGTTCTTCTCTCTGGTTTTCCCGGCGACTCGCTGAAGTTTGTTGCCGGAATCCGTCTCGGATAGCCTCTTTCAAGCGAGAGTTCTGATTTCAGGTAAGCTCTCTCAGCTTCATTCTGTTAAATCCATGTCTGATTATTTCTGTGGATCTTGTTATGTGGCTTTAAGATGGAGCTAACAAGCAAGCGTTGACGAAATATTCGTGCTTATAATGGCCGGAATTTCTTCATATCTCTCTGGAAAATTCCTTGTTTTCTGGTGTTTTATTGTTCTCTTCTTTCATTGAGATCTTCCATGGTGTTTGGATGACCTCTGTCGTAGATGCTGAGGATATCTTGAGGAATGTGGGATTTGAACTGGTTTTCGTCTTGTAATGTAGTTGTTTTTCGACCGTAGATTGTTTGAATGAATTGTGTTTTTGGAGGAAATTTATCCGCTGCATTCAAGTGGCTTTGAATCTCCAAGGTTAATGGAAAATGCAGGTTTGGTTATGAGATTTTTGCTTCTTAGAAACGTTCAGAAACTGCTTTGTTTGTTGAAACTATGTGTGCTCTGTTCATCTGCGTAGGTTGAACTCTTCTATATGCCTTAAGGATCTTGATAGTTTTCCCAGGACATACATGCCTATGTTTCTCTGTTTATTGGTTTTGAAGAATCAAAGGGAACATGCATTTGATTAAATGTTTACTGTTTTGTCTCTACATCTTAGGATTTGATAAGATAGTTGATAAACTACCGTTTTTCACAGTTATTATAAAAATGTTTAGCTATCTCCCTCAGTTTGTTTTCTGATAATGATTTCTTCCTATCATCTATCTGTCTTGTTCTATCACTAAAGAATAATCATAGCTGGTGCGAAATAATTGTTTACTGGCTTACTGTAATCAAGAACCCCAATAATGGCAATCTCTTGACCCTGTTTGGTCCTTTATTTCAGATACCAAAACCCAACGACTGAGATCTCCTCACTCTTGCGATGGATGGACCTCAAGAATTAAATTTGAGAAATGTAGATTCGCAGAGCACCATATCTGAGCATGAAGACTTCGATTTCTCACGGCTTGACAGGCCGAGGACACTAAATATAGATAGGCAGAGGTCCTTTGATGAGAGGTCTCTTAGTGAGTTATCTATCGGTGTGTCTCCTCGCTTTGGTGCCAGAAACTCAGAGGCAAACAGGAGCTTGGAGAACCTCGACAGCTTATGCTCACCAGCCATAAGGTCTGGTGTTAATACTCCTGCATCTTCTGCTCGTAACTCCTTTGAACCACATGCAATGGTTGCTGAAGCATGGGATGCGCTTCGACGTTCACTGGTTTATTTTCGTGGGAAACCGATAGGCACCATTGCTGCACTAGATAACACAGAGGGAGCGCTAAATTACGATCAGGTAGTGCCTCTTCTCTTTCTAAGGCACATATGTATTTTGTTTCTTTAGTTCTGTTCATGTAGGAAGAACTCTGATATCTTTGTATTTTAAAGGGGGAGAAAATGTATACAAAGAGTGTGTTGGATGCCTTTGCTTTGGGCATTATTTATAAGTGGAATAAGCTGGAGTTTTTTAATTTTATTCCTTTGCCTGATGCTGCTCTTTCTTCTCGTTTTTCACAAAAAGGGCACCCATAATTATTTTTCCCTTTTGGTCTATATCTTTGTTTTAGTTTTTTTTGCTCATCTCATATCTGGATTTGCTTTCTTGTTTATGATATATACTTAATAGTTAGTGAGTTATCAAAAGAGAAAATAAGAAAAGAAAAGTCTATACTTAATGCGTGTTTAAAATGTTTTTAATTACTCTGACATATGTGGTTCTAGGCAATATTGCATAGACAACCTCTCGAGTTTACTTCATGTCTCAAACTTGTGTCTGAAATATGTTGGAACCCATATGCTTCAGTTTGTTTATAACCTTTATTGGTGACAAGTTGTACATAATGAAGGAATTTTGAAGTTTCAAAAGTGTCTTGCTGACATTTATCCTTTGATATTGTCTTATTTGTTTTGAGTAACTAATTAATGATATCAGTTTTTAAAAAGTGGGATCCAGGGTTTAGGGCCTGACCAAAAGGCTAAGGGCATCCTATTGGAAGGTGAAGTTGGTCTCTATGGCATCAACCTGACATGGAAAAGTTCTGGGTTGTTTGTTTTCATCCTAGATCTTTCAACCCCATTTTCCTTTCCTTCTACAATAAATCTCGAGAGTAAAATGAAAAAAGAATAAGCTGTAATTGATGTGCAAAAGAAAAGCTTTTTATTTCTTTGCAATTATAATGGACTTTGCAATTCAAATCTATGATTGGTGTTTAGAGCAGCGTAGTAGTGAAATCTTTTGAGTTTTGAAATTTTTTTTTTTTTCAAGTTGATTTCCAAAAGAAATTATTAAATATAATAGTTTTTGGGTGATTTATCTACTTATTCCTCTTCTAGTTATTCCTTTCTACCTCAATCCACATTCACAATGTTAATGTATCCCCAGAAGAGCTGGGCATTGCTTAGTGTCCAAGCAATGGGCAATAGGTGAATCCCCCACCACAGGATACATGTAACCAAGTTGATGGGTTGGTGATATATAGAATAACCACTAAGCCATTTACAAAGCATAAAATTGATTGAGAAGGGCGAGAGCCCTGCTATTTCATCCTTAACAGGAGCGCATAGATATTTTTGGTCACAGAATTGGTAGGAGAGGTCAATATTTGACTTACAATGTTTGTGTGGGGGTATCTGGTATTCTGGTGTTAAGTTGTATAAAATGAGGCAGCAGCTTTCATAATTTTAGCTGTAATGCATCTGTGCTGTTGACATTTGTGGATGTTCACGAGCTATTTGCATGCTTGGACAGTTGTACTTCATCCAAAACAAAAAAAAGATGTTTGTGATATTAGATATTTGAAGCATCATGACAGGCTAGCACATCTATAATGCATGATATGATGTGATTTTAGGCATTAGCTGCCGCCCCTAGGGTCAGTACCTAAATGTTCTGCTAAGTTTCAAACTATTAACAGGCTTAAAATTTTATGGCTTTAGCATCTTTCCTCTAGAAAGTTAGCTGAAGACTTCTATTGAATGAGAAAAATATAATTATAAAACTATTGAATGAGAAAAATATAATTATAAAACGATCAAATATCATCAAAAGTTGTTAAACCTTAGTAATCATAAAAGCTATTCTCCTCTCTTTCTTATTTTAAGATCCCTGGAATATTTTTATTGTCCTATTAATTATTTATACTAAACATGCCTATGATTCTGCTCTTTGCTTTGCATCAGCTACAATGGTTTTGGTTTATCTGCCTTGATGCTAAACAATGTTTAATTTTCTAGCATGACAGGGGAATTAAGACCTGTTCACCTTTGAGACATTCAAATTGAAATAGTTTTCTGGGCATCAAAAATCTTATTTCATTCTTTCTTTGTATTTTGTGTTATTTATTGTTTCTTTCAGTTCATTGAGTTAACATTTTATGTTTACTCTCTCTTTCCTCTTTGTGAAACATGAGTTGGCTTTCCCTCCTAATAACAAGTTACATTATTGACCTTGATTTCGCATCCAAAATTTAGGGAGCCACACTTCTCCATCAAGGATTTGATGCATGGGAAAGCTTATTTAATTATAATTGTTTTTCTTTTTGAGAAGTTTAATTCTTTAACACACTCACAGACACAAATATATGCTTTTAGGTCCTCATGTTCCTCTTTCATGTCGGATATCTGTGTCAAAATTTTTGTATTTCTGAGCTGGCTTTCTCGCTTCTAAATACTTTGCTAGCATCTTGAGCACTATTCTGGAGGATGTGCTACTCGGCAAAAGATTGGGTTCATTTGTTTCTACTTTCTAGTTGAATTTGCCTTTTTGTAGTGCATTGGAGGAGGTAGCTACAACTCTCTCATTTGTTTTATTGCGCTGGTCAGTAGAAATTTATTTCAATGTTTATATTGATACCAAGACTTTGCCGTGGCTGGCCCCTTCCGATCATGCTAGTTCCAAGCCCTGGTAATGGCGGAGGGTTGTGTTAGTAGGCTGCCAATGCAAAACTTTGCTGCAACTTTTCATGAATTCCAAATCGCCGTTATGTGCTCATGGTAGGGCGTTTCCATATGCAACGCGCATCTTACTGATGGTATGGCCCTTGACAAAGTAGATGGCGGAACATGATTCGTGTAGCCAACCCTAAATAGTTGGGATAAAGCTTTGATGATGATGATGTTTATATTGATATCAACTGCCTATATTAATAATGAATTGTACAAATAAAGGGAACTAATTTTATTTCTAAACTATGCAATGTAGTTATGTACTCCACTAAATTCTTATCTATATTTTTTGGCATGACAATCTTATTTTTGTCTTGTTGTTGAATTCTTTATATCCTAATAACTTGAATGATTGCTGATTCCGTCCTGATCTTTATTTTGATTAGGTGTTTGTTAGGGATTTTGTCCCAAGTGCATTGGCCTTTTTGATTAATGGCGAACATGAAATAGTCAAGGATTTCCTGTTGAAAACTCTCCGTCTTCAAGCATGGGAGAAAAAAATAGATCGTTTCAAGTTGGGAGAAGGAGTATTACCAGCTAGTTTCAAAGTCCATCATGACCCTGTTCGCAACACTGATACACTAGTAGCTGATTTTGGTGAGAGTGCAATTGGAAGGGTGGCTCCCGTGGATTCTGGATTCTGGTGGATTATCTTGCTCCGTGCATATACAAAATCTACGGGGGACTTGTCACTGGCAGAAACACCTCAGTGTCAAAAGGGGATGAGGCTTATACTGACGCTATGTCTCTCTGAGGGATTCGACACATTTCCCACCCTTCTTTGTGCTGATGGATGTTCGATGATTGATCGTAGGATGGTAAGCTAAACAGCCTGTTAGTTTCTTTTATGGCTAATTTGTTGCACATGCTATGGTTAGATGTAACTTTTCCACTTGGTAGTTAAGCTCTAATCTTCTTCTACTTTTCTAGATATAGGGTGAGTTTGGATGGACGCCCCAGGGCTATTCTTCCTACCACAATTTTAGAATAAGGCAGAAAAACGTTCCTGCACAACTGGGTTGAAGAAATAGTAGAATTACCATTTAGTGGTCAGTTCAAACGCACCTTAGGGCATGCTTGATGCGTGGAAGAGGGGCCTATGGTAGCCCCTCTTCCACATATCATGGAAGTTAGCATGGAAGCTGCCCCTTCCTAAAATAAAGCATGGAAGCTACCTCTTCCTAAAATAACATCTTTTGACGTTGAGTGTAGAATGCGCACTTCCGTTTTGTGGCTTCCATGCTCCCGCAACAAACACTGGAGATGTTTTGGTGGAATTTGGGTCTTCCACTACTCAAACGTTCCGCCAAAACAAGCATGCCTTTATTATTCTTGGAACTTCGCCTTTTAACCGCACTCATAGTGAGAAGAGCAAGAATTAGAATGAAAACTGTGTTTTCAACATTAATAACCTTATTTATTCATTTATTTATTTTTTCAGAATTTGGAATGTCAATTATAAATTAGACATGATCAGTTAACACAATCATTTGGGACATAGCTTGGTTAAGTTATATTGTTTGTGCATGTTAGCTTTCTTTGCATGACATGCTGGAACTAAGGATGCTTTTTGTACTTTATTCTTTGATTATGGATACTGGTGGCATTTACTATTTATAATGTGGCATCACCTGTAAATTACATCAAAATTCTGTGTTTGGTGTTGGTCTACATGTGAATTCCTTTCAGTTCATTAAAAAGAACTGAATGATGTGTCTGTGATGCATGCATATATGTCTGTAAACAACCTGAGGACATGTATTGAATGAGCATATCAATAGTTATTAAAATATAGAAGCACATTACTTTTCAAAACGAAGATAGAAAAAATGACACTTCATCAAGATTCCATTCACTTAGAAAAGCAGTTGTAATGCTGTAGCAGTAGCTAAAATTCACAGTAGCAGTCGTTAAATTCACTGACATAAAGCAAATTTCGCTTACTTTAACTTCTCAATTGCTTTATTTCCCTGTCTATTGTAAAAATTTCTAATGCTTATTTCTTTGTCCCTCTGTCATTGTGCAAGTCCTTTGGAAAATTTACTTTTAAAAGGAAAGTCCTTTGGAAAATTCAAGGTAGTCCTTGTAGCTTGTCTTTAAGGCATTTAAAATCTTTGGGCCTGATCTCTTTTGATTGCGTTGCACCTTGTATCCCTCTTTCTTCATTTTACATTCTTAAGGGTGTAGTTACCAGTTCACATCTTCTCTTGTAGGCTTTCATTAGGAAGAGTAACAGATGACATTATTGGTCCTTAAAAGGAGCTTTATAACTGTCCATTTTTCTTTCTCGTAATGGATAATGATGAGTTTCCTCAAAAAAATGGATAATGATGACTTACACAATGGTAGATTGTTGCTGGTTCCTGTCTTAGGATATATGGTGGCTCCACCTCATTCTCTTAATGAGATTCTTTATATCACTAAAAGAACTTTAAAACATACGTAATAGGTACAAACATTTAAAAGGAAAAAAGAAGAAAGATATAACAGATACAGATTGAAGTAACATCAAGTATAAAATGGGCCAAGAGATGTCAAGTTGGCATCTCAGAGACTCCTTGAATCTTCAACAAGAAAATTCGTGTTTATTATCCCAATAGTACTATAAGGGTGTTCGCTTCTCTGTTCGCGTCCCCCTAAATGTTCCTCGTTGTAGCATTATGAGAATTACATGTGCCAATTATTTCCTTGAAAACATCATCAGCCTCCAAGTGTAAGCTGTCTTTTCCTCGTATCTGATTCTCTTAATGGTATTCAACTATTCAGCGTTGTTCATCCAAAACAAATGGGAATCCTCTCTTCTTCAAAGGTTCTTGAATTTTCAACACATTAAGGCATATTTTTCCTCTTTCAACGATTCATCATTGTTCATCTAAACAAATGGGAATCCTTTCTTCTTCTAAGTTTCTTGGATTTTCAACACATTAAGGCATATTCAACTTTAATATGTATGTAAATAACTGTCTTCAACATTTAAAGGGGAGACCCTTTTATGTATTTCTACTTTCTCTCACTCTTATATTCTTGATTATGGAGTTACTGCTGAGAGGACAAACTAAGCTACTTATGAGCAACTTGGTATTTATCATTTGGAATTGTGGTGTTCTTTTTAAGGTAATAACATAGTGAGCGGACAAACTAAGCTACTTATGAGCTACTTGGTATTTATCATTTGGAATTTTGTGTTCTTTTTAAGGTAATAACGTAGTGCATCTTAATCTACCTATTGATAACATCCCTCCTATTGCAGGGTATTTATGGCTATCCCATTGAAATTCAAGCACTTTTTTTTATGGCACTGAGGTGTGCTTTGGTATTACTTAAGCAAGATCAAGAAGGGAAAGAGTTTGTGGAACGAATTGTGAAGCGTCTGCATGCCCTAAGTTATCACATACGGAGTTATTTCTGGCTTGATTTTCAGCAACTAAACGGTATATACCGCTATAAAACTGAGGAATACTCACATACAGCAGTCAACAAGTTCAATGTTATTCCTGACTCAATTCCGGATTGGGTTTTTGACTTCATGTCAATGCGTGGAGGTTACTTCATTGGAAATGTGAGTCCTGCAAGAATGGACTTTCGTTGGTTTTGCCTTGGTAATTGTGTTGCAATTCTATCATCTCTCGCAACACCAGAACAGTCTATGGCTATTATGGATCTTATAGAAGAGCGATGGGAGGAACTGGTTGGAGAAATGCCCCTGAAAATAACGTATCCCGCATTAGAGAGCCATGAATGGCGGATTATAACAGGTTGTGACCCAAAAAATACCAGATGGAGCTACCATAATGGTGGATCATGGCCAGGTGGGACTATCATTGATTCTTTTGCATTACTGTGTTATCTGTTTTCTTTTGGAAAAAGGTGTCATTTGCAACTTATATGACCATTACTTGCATGGGAATGGACTTTTATTCTGAGGCACTTTATTGAAAATGTAATGGAAGACGACAAGGAATAGTTCATGTTGTACCAAGTCCACTAAATATGGTTCAGACATCAGTTTTCAAACTTGGTAGTAGGTTAAATCTATAGTATTTCACTTTATTTATGTATTTTTTATATAGATAATGTAACACACTTTCATTACCCTCATATGTTCTACCTAATGTTGCCCTGTCTTGTTTTATGGGCTTTGACCAGATAAGTTTGTGATGTTTTGTAATCAGTCAATTAGTTTTCCTCTTCTTTGCATTTGCTTAATAAAACACATGGCTGGGTAAAACCATGACTATCTGCTAGCTTATTTCTGTGGTATAACATAAATTGATTAGATAAAATAACTCCATCTTTTCTAATAAATGTTTGTAGGTCTTGTTCATGGGTGCTAAGGCAATTTTATTGTATGAAAGATTGTCGAATAAATTGATATTCAGTGAAAGATTGTCAAACGCATTGATACATGTCTAACATGCTGATGCTTTTATTGATTAGAATTGGATACTTGAAGCTTTCTAACCAGTATTTTTTCATAGGCCTCTATACTCCATTGGTGAAAGTTGTTGCTCTTGGCACTTCAGGCTTTGACATAGAGTGTTTCGAGTTGATTTTTATTGGTTGACTTCTCGGAAATGAAATTCTTTTAGCAATATTTGTGAACTTCTTTTATTATTTAACTTTCTATGTGGAACTGTCTGAACACCAAATGATCCCTGCAACTAGATTTAATATGATTTCCACATGCTCCCGGTAATTCAACTTCATGGTTCAGCTATATGGTTGGACTCCTTTGAAGCAGTCTGCCCTGTTTAACACTGTGAATCAGTTATTAAGATATATTGCTTCTGCCCCAATCTGATTTTATTAAGATATTGTTTTTGTAACATCTCATTTTAGGGAAGTCTACAATTTTGTTTTTATATCGTTCAGGGGGTGTTGGAACAAATATTTTCTCAGATCTTCTTTGGAATTCTGTTGAGATGGATGAGTGGAAAGACAAGAAAGGATAGAATTAGGAATGAACACATCCGAGGGAGCTTACAGATGGCTCTAATAGACCATAAGATGAGGGAAAGTGACTTAGGTGGGTTGGCCATGTGCAGCATTGACCTTGAACATTATTGGTTAGGAGGCAATTTGGTTCAATTGGATGGCTCTAAATAGGCAAGGGGAGGGCCTAAAAGGATATGGATGAAAGTAGTGAGAAAATGTCTGACTGAGGGTATGACCCTTAATAGAGTGGATGGCAAAACCATAGTTGTTGGAAACACTTGGGAACTTGAATCGCTTTAAGAATTGGAATCGTGGCTGGCTAGAAGATTCATGTTTTTAGAATCGACATCTTTACAATGGGCATCACGGGGAGCCAGATTCCTATTTTTTGGGAATCAAGAATTAACAAAAATGGAATCGAGATTTCGCCACATATGGAATCAAGATTTTGAACTTCTTGGAATCTAGATTCTGAAATCTTAGGAATCGAGTTTCCAACTTATGTGGAATCGATATTTGCACCAGTTTGGAATCGATATTTGCACCAGTTTGGAATCGAGGTTCTGACATATTTGTAATCTAGTTTTCGATGTATGTGGAACTGAGATTCATGCCAGTTTGGAATTGAGAATCATATTAGTTTAGAATCGAGTTTGATCCCAATAGGCAATCGAGATTTGTGACTCTATGGAGTTAACTACGAAGCCCCATAGAAACAAGTTTCCTATATCAACGACATCTCGCGCTTTATTGACTTAGAATCTATTTAAGAAATTGATATCAAATATCTTTGAATATACTTGTAGAGGGGTTCCTCAGATTTGAAGTCAATATATTGATTATTGAACTTAGGGTTAAGTAGTTCACTACGGAAATTATCTACAAAAGATACAAATGTTATCTCACGTATTTCTAAATTGTGATATTGACTTCATTATTATACAAAAAAAATACGATTTTCTCTGAGCCATGGCATTTATTGTATGTGTTGTGGTTACCAATTGTATTTGAAAGAAAAGGCAGTCCATCCTAGCACTATTAGAAATGTACTCAGAATCTATTTAAGAAATCGATATCAAATGTCTTTGAATATACTTGTAGAAGGGTTCCTCAGATTTGAATTCAATGTATTGATTATTGAACTTAGGTTTAAGTAGTTCACTACGGAAATTATCTACAAAGATACAAATGTTATCTCATGTATTTCTAAATTGTGATATTGACTTCATTATTATACAGAAAAAATACGATTTTCTCTGAGCCATGGCATTTATTGTATGTGTTGTAGTTACCAATTGTACTTGAAAGAAAAGGCAGTCCATCCTAGCACTATCAGAAATGTACTTAGAAGCTATTTAAGAAATCGATATCAAATGTCTTTGAATATATTTGTAGAAGGGTTCCTCAGATTTGAAGTCAATGTATTGATTATTGAACTTAGGGTTAAGTAGTTCACTATGGAAATTATCTACAAAAGATACAAATGTTATCTCATGTATTTCTAAATTGTGATATTGACTTCATTATTATATAGAAAAAATACTATTTTCTCTAAGCCATGACATTTATTGTATGTGTTGTAGTTACCATTGTACTTGAAAGAAAAGGCAGTCCATCTTAGCAGTATTAGAAATGTCATTCGAGCCAGTCCTAGTACTATTAGAAGCATTCACAGTATTAGGAGCATTCTAATCGAATAAACATTTCTACTCTAATTACATTTAAAAAGTGGTAACCATTCAAGAAATTGAACATTATGTACTTCGAATTGTTTATTTATTTATTTTATTTTATTATTATTTTTTTCCTTGCATTTACATTATGCCATTATGGTGGGGTAAAAATTCAGTCTAAAAGATCAAGCACACGTGTGGATATATTATTGCATGAATTAAAAAATAACATGTGGGTATAGAGAAATTTTGACATCAAACAAATATCTTATGGACGGCAAAGAAAAATTCCATGTTGATTGAATCGCAGTTCCCTGCTCCTATGTTGTAGATTCTAGATTCAAAACCATAATGAATCAAGATTGATCACATGTGGAATTAGGCATAAACAGACGTGGAATCAAGATTCAATAAATGTTGGGATCGAGATATGAGAAATTTGGGTCTGAGATTCCACAAATAATGAGATTGCGATTCCTAAAAAGGTATGAAATTAGATTCCTAAGTTCTAGGAAATGGTTTTTGTGAAGATTCTTTATTGGAATCGCCGAATTGGGATTCTGAACCGGAATCGTGACCTTGGCAGAGAGATTCGGGAAACTATGGGTAAAACAAGATTCGTGTAGCTGATCCCAAATAGTTGGTACATAGCTTGGATGATGACGATGATCTTCTTTGGAAACCTTTACTAGATCTAATCATCGAGATGGAGAATTCATCTCTAAACATGCATGGGCATGAATATCTCCACTAATCAGTGTTTTGAAATGCAGGATGTGGACTCGATGCAGTCGGGGGGTCGTTACGGCTCAATGAGGTCCATATGCGGGCACATCACCTCGATGCAGTTAATAAAAAAATTCCAAAAAAATCTCAAAAAATAGATTAATGCATGGATAACAATATGGAGGTGATTTATGTGGTAGTAGGTATTTAATTTATCATTAACTCCAGTATTATTAGTTATAAGTGACTTTGGATCCTGCGATAGAATACACTAGAAAGAAACTAGAAACTTGAAACTAACTTTATAGAAGACATTATATTATCATAAACATCCAAAAACTATCATTGTAATTGCAAACTCCAAAGATTCATGCAACCACTAAAAGTCTATTAAGAGCTCAAGAGTCAAGCCAAAACATTGAAGAAAATAGAAATCAAAAGATAATCTAGTCAACTCTCAGCTCTCAAGTCTCAATCTCAAATCTCAATCAGACAAGTCATCCAGGGAGTCTCCATGTGCATGTACATCTCTAACATCTGAGTGCGAGGATATAGAGGCATCATCATCATGAATATCATCCTCGGTCGCCTCCATATTTACTACGTCTTCCTCAGTCTCCTTTGAGTCGGCCTCCTCCTTGACCTCTAGAATTGATACGCGACTGGACCCACCTTTTTTCTTTTGTGTTCTAGTGTTAGGCCATACTTCACCCAATTTTTTTAGCGCATGTTGAGGTTGCATAAAGCGCTATGCGGCCGCATTTTAAAACACCGCCACTAATCCTCTTGTTCCCTACCTATGTGTTGGATTTAGGACTCATGGGTAACTGATGCATGGGCTAGTATCTGTTTGGCTTTTATTAGGCTCATTGAGGGGGAATACTAGATCTTGAAACCTTCTTAGTCTTATAAAAAGGACTTCAACTAGCTATTTGAGAACCCCGATCACCAAACTACTAGCGTTTAAGTATGTGATGTCTTGGGTATCAGGTTGACTGAGATGTGTATTCATCCTTCTCTGTCTCTTTGAATTCAAGGATCTCTAAATGCTTGCAGCAGTGGGCACATTCCTCATTGCATATTGTCCAACCCTTTCTCTCTGTTCTTGGGACTTGTTTGATGCTCATTATGTCTATAGCTGGCATCTTATGCTTATTCCTCATGAAGTCTCCAGGAAAGTTGCTCTTTTTAGTAAAACGGTGTCTGCTCCATATTATTCTCCTGAAATAAATGCCTTGGATGCAGTTTCTTTTTCAAACATTGGCAACCATAGGGAAATACTATTGTAGCCCTCTCTAAGTCCCTCAGGAATTGTATTGACACACAGTGGAACATTTAAAAGTGGACAGTTGCTCGAGTCACATGGTACAGAAAAGAATACTGCCGTGACTTGATTGCTCAATCTGAAACATGAAGGGATAGGGGCCCCTTCTATTTGATTTTGTTTAGATGGTTTGTGAGATTCAGCACCATTCCCAGAAACCGGTTACCTTTGACTATGTTGCCTTGCATTTATCAGCAATGATGGACCTATAGTTGACGTGTTGGAGAGTCAAGACCATCTCTTCTTGATTAACCCTTTGAAAGTTGAACTGCCAAGAAGGCACAATCAGCTGTAGATGCCTGTGAAATTGTTGGAATCTCTCATATGAAACATCTGAGATGATTATCACACTTGGCGAGCATCTTCTGCATGATTTTGTCTGCTTCCCTTCCTCGTATCATCATCCACTCTTCTCTCTGGACATTACTGGTCTCAAATGAAGGGAATGCTGTTAGTCGTTCCATGCTTGTGATTAATGTATAGAATTAGTTATGACGTATATAGCTGTTGTTATAGTAGGTTGTTTCGGACTTCTATTTCAATCGCATAAGGGTGTTCATATATTTCTATCCAGTCTTAGTATGTGGAAGCCTTTCACATATTTACTAATCGATCGGCATATGGCTTTTCTAGCTTTTGTGTATTTTTCCCTCAATACTTTTTTCCGTTAACATTTCTGTAACTGATATTGAACCTAGCTTTAGTGCACATTCTTTGATGTTCTCCTCTAAAACCATGTGCCAAGTTCAATATTAATACCGTAATTATTCTAGACTTGTTAAAGTTGGAATGGTTCTACCTTGCTGAAATATTTAGTTGTATAGGCCCGATTTTGACTTTCTCAATGCATCCTGCTATAGAGAATGATATTGAACCTGTGATCTTTTCTGGGTTTGATTTCAGTTTTATTGTGGTTGCTTACTGCTGCCTGTATAAAGACCGGCCGACCCCAGATTGCACGCAGGGCCATTGAACTCACAGAAAGCAGGTTAGCCAAAGATAACTGGCCCGAATATTATGATGGTACGCTTGGTAGGTTCATCGGTAAACAAGCTCGCAAGTTCCAAACATGGTCGATTGCTGGTTATCTGGTGTCGAAAATGATGCTTGAAGACCCTTCTCATTTGGGAATGATTTCTCTGGAAGAGGACAGGCAGACGAAGACTTTTATCAAGAGATCAGCTTCTTGGACATTCTAAAGGACTTGAATGATTGTAAGGGATAAAGATTGAAAGAGAAGAGGAGAGGAACATTCAAGAAATCACATGTGGCTCACATTCTTTTGTGGATTTTTTGAGGGGTTGGAGGAGCGCTGCAAGAGAGGCTTATGCATTGTGAGGCTCCTCATTTAAATGTGTTTCTGTACATTATTGAGTGCGGCAGCTCGAATAAATGCTGTATTATTGAATTGCTCTGGAATCTTCAAATTCATTCATTCATTCCCATTTAGCAGGTAATTCTTTCTTGGTTAGGGGTTTGGGTTTTGAAAATCGGAAAATTTTGGGCCTTAGTGATGTGAGGTCTCACTATACAAACCATGTACAGCTAAAATCTTGTGGAAACTGCACTTTAAAACCATGCAACACTACCATGTAAAGTTTGGTGTTAAACCGCCGCTTCTATTCTCCCATTGCATGGTTCATATTTCTGGTATACTTTGGCTCGGTAATTATAGCATAATCAAATTTCATTCTTCAGTTTTATTCACAGCAACATGAATACTTGATGGAAATCAAGTCCAAAATTGTCTCAACATGTGTCACACAGTGCTTAGCAGTACGTAATACAAACTCTTACCCTCTCTTGGTTAAATTACTACGCAGGGACTTTGTACTTTTGCTAAAAAAGATCGCTCCATCCAACGAATATAAGACCTTGTATGGGAACTGGTTTTCCACTTCATATGCCTCGTCTTTTTAATCAAACTTATGTCCTCACTCACCAAATATATCGTGAGGTTTTTGGCTTCCATGACAAAAGCAGTGTAAATTTGGTGCATCTTTTAAATTAAGGGACATATCAAATGTATCCCCATAGTTGCCTAAAGTTCAAACTTACTTTTATTTCTTGTTTAATACTTCCGTACTCACAAATAATTATTTTTTTGTAAAAGATGTTTTTACCCCTTGTAACTTACTTTTATTTATTGTTTAATACATCCATACCCACAAATAATTAATTTTTTGTAAAAGATGATTTTACCCCCCCGCCCCCCCCTCCCCCTGTAACGAACCTATTAAATCTATGGTGTACGCCACGGACTTGACAGCCCTGGTGCAGGGTAGAGATCCGAAACCAAGTTTTTCCCCAGTTTTTGGTGCCAAGGGAACGTCGTAGGGTATTTTTTTGGGGCCAAAACGTGCCACGGCTATGGAGGTCCGTGGTGTTGTGTGAAACCTCCATATACACCAATTTTGTGGGGTTCTTTTTCTCTCATATACACTCTCTCTACTGCTCCCACGCATAGATCCACCACCATCACACATTTCATGGCTTTGTAAAAGCCCTGGAAAAGATCAAGGTAGTGGATCACTTTTTATTCTTTATATTCACAAATTCATATTATTTATCTGTAAAATTCCCTTGAGACGCTGTTTAAAATTGCACATTTCATTAATTTTTACTTAATTTTGGTTCCTTTTGCATTGTGTTTTTTTTGATTTTGATACAAAATTTTATCATCGAGAGAATCTGTGTAAAATTTAGTCCATGATTAGGGTGTTTTCTGAGTGTGGTTGGTAGTAATTTTTTTTTTTTGGGTTTACATACCTACTTGGTAGTACTTTTACTTTCCAAAAATTTTGCAATGCCCAGATCTATTCTTGTTCACTTGTCCATGGGCAAAATGGAGTTATGCTGGTTTACTAGATAGCAATTATGAAGAATGAAAATCATAGATTGCCATCTAAATTTTATTTTTTCTTTTGTTGAACATCAACTTGAATTATGTTCAATTTTTTTTCAGATTATTTTTTCTCATTCATGTGTTATAGTCGTTTACATGGATGTAAGTTGTATTACAATGGACTCATCATGTTTTTGAATCTGTTTTTGGGTAAATGTTATGTTTTTGAACTGAGATATTGCAATTATGAGTAGTTTGCAAGATGTAATGTATGTGGTAATGACTTATGTATCTTGGTAACGTGAAAGTAATAAATTGCTACTTTCTATTTATAACGTTCATTTTCTTTATTTTTGCTTCGTTTTATTGTGTATTTGTCTCATTTACTGTTTAGTCACATTTGCTAGGGGCTAACAATGGGTCATGGGAGAGTAAAATTGACCCTATGTTTTGATAGATGTCTAAAGCGAAACTCAAATGATGGGCATCTTTCAATGATGGAGGAAAGGTGAAGGTGGCATTCTTTCTGCGAAACCCTTCCCTTGTCCAGCTTCAAAGTGTTGTGAGGAATTTAATGTAGTATGATCATGGAACCATGACAATTAAGTATCATGATCCCAATTTACCCAGCCATTTGTCCACGATAGATGTAAGAGATGATTGTGATGTCGCATGTATGTTGGAAAGGCCTTTTTCCCTTGACATGTACATATCACGTCAATCAAATAATTTGTCTAGAAATAGACCTGCAATGGTCGGCAATGGATCATTAATGAGAGGTAGGTAAGTATTTTGCTTTGTTTTTTACTTTTAATGTAGGTGTGTTATAGGCTATGGTTTACTGAAAGCTCCATGTAATGGAATATTTCTTGTTTGCAGGAGGATTGGGGAATCTGTGGGTGCGCAACTCGTGGGTAATGAAGGTGCTATCATAGGTCTAGATGTTAAATATGAGACAGTGATGGAGCATGATGTCAATAATGTTCATCTGATAGAAAGCCTTTACAAGAATATACCATTAGGAAGTATCACTTCATCAAGGACAAGATTTTGAAAGTGTATACACATACCGTAACCATCTTGTTGATTACTCCATATGACAGAACTTTGCCCTGATTAAAAAAAAGTGAGGATGGGTGTGAATGAGTGAAGTGTGTAGTAGAGGTATGCTCATGGTGAGTTCATTGTTCTAAAGTTGATAAAATGAAATACTTTAGGGTGAAGAGGTTTATAATGTTCACTCATGTCACAATGCAATAGGTAGGGTTCATCAACCAATGGTCTGAAGAGAATGGGTGGCACGAAAGATCAAGAATTGCTTGCATGACCAGCTGGGTCTAACACTAAGGGATATTATAAATGATATTCAACATGAAAATGGTGTCACACTCTCTATTAGCAGGCGTGACGGGGCAAGGAGGCTGCATAGGTGATGATAGATGGTTCACTTGAGAAAGCATATGCAGACATCTCCTACTATTTGTATAAGCTCTGGAGCACTAACTTTGGAACTGTAATGATCATCCAGAAAGACAACTGCTATAGATTCCAGCGAGTATATGTGGCTTACAACCTTGGTATACATGGTTTCATGTATGGGTGCAAGCCACTAATATGGTTAGATGGAACCTTTATGACCGGACCATACTATGGCATCTTGTTTTCCGCAATTGTTGTAGATGCAAATAAGGGTATGTACCCAATAGCTTATGCAATGGTTGAGGAGAAGACTCGTTATAGTTGGAAATGGTTTTTAGAATTACTGAATGAACAATTCGATGAGCAGCCCGATATCTTGCCATTGACCATTATTTCAGATCGATAGAAAGGGTTGTAACAAGCAATCCAAGAGATGCTTCCAAAGAAAATTTCTAATAGCTTCTTTCACCACCATTACGGCTGGGCAATGGACCCAGACCCGAACCAAACCCGGTGGGTTTACCCGACATGGGTCCGGGTATGGGTCCAAGTTTTGGACCCGCGAGTAGGGTCCAAGTCCAATAAATGATACCTGAACAGTCCCAGGTCCATGTACGGGTATGGTTGTACTCGACCCTGCAGGTACCCGGACCCATATTTATTATATATAATTTAGCTTTTGTTTTATTATTTTATATGATTTAATTTTTTAAACCATCCCTAAGTTCCCCATCCCTTTTATAGAGCTTACACCCCGAGAAATTTATATATCTCTTTGATGTGGGATTAATCCCAAATACTACCCACTAGGCTCACTTTTAGCTTTTCCCTCTTACACGGTTACACCCCTAGTATAGTAGGGATGGTTTGAAAATTGAAAAGTGGGATAGTTTGAATTTTGTAAAGCACATGGCAGGCTGGTGCCTTCACGGTTTCACATAATGTGGGGGATGGTTTAAACTGTGCCTTCACACCTTCACATAACGTAATGCTTTAAAAGCATGGCTAGCTGGCAGCATGGGGCCCACACGTAAGGAGTTGTGCGTGGCAGGCTGGCAGCGTGGGGCATTCAAAAAATTTCGATGCATGGGGCTTTCAAAAAAAAATCTAAATAGAGAAAGGGAGGCGAATGTGTATAAACAGGAAGCTTAGATTAGTCTCACATCGATGGGAATGAAAAGAAATAATTGGGTCGAGCTCTATAAAAGCAGAGGCATCGGGACGTTTAACTATTTCCAAACCCCCTCAGGGCTAGTGTTAGGTATGGGTATGAGTATGGGTATGGGTGGTTAGATGCCTCAATCTTGCCCTCGGGTCGGGGGTGACCTGATGACTTGGCTCTACGTTCGATATGGACCTAGGACCTGAGACCGTTCTCTCGTGAACCGTGTCGGGAGGACACGGGCAGGATTACCATCCGGTGAGAGAAGAATTAAGGTATGAGGCGTGGCAGGCTGGCAGCGTGGGGCATTCAAAAACTTTCGATGCATGGGGCTTTTAAAAAAAATCTAATTAGAGAAAGGGAGGCGAATATGTATAAACATGAAGATTAGATTAGTCTCACATCGATGGGAATGAAAAGAAATAAGTGGGTCGAGCTCGATAAAAGCAGAGGCATCGAGACGTTTAACTATTTCCAAACCCCCTCATGGCTAGTGTCGGGTATGGGTATGGGTATGGGTGGTTAGATGCCTCGATCTTGCCCTCGAGTCGGGGTGACCTGATGACTTGGCTCTAGGTTCGATATGGACCTAAGACTTGAGACCGTTCTCTCGTGAATCGTGTCGAGAGGACACGGGCAAGATTACCATCCGGTGAGAGAGGAACTAGGGTGTGAGGTGAGACTTACCTCACCTGGGTCCATGATGCACTCGGGCTAACTCTCATGGGCACCCTCTTAGATCACGTTGGAGTGCCCTCCGGACTTATGACCGGTTCGAAATCGCCTCCTTTAGGCTATTTCTTCTTTTCCTGCAATCACACACACACATTAAAATAAAAGACAAGTGGGTCTGAAGACTCCACATTGTCATAGGGTGAGAGCACACGTGTGTGTACTCAAAGGAAAATAGAAAATAATATGATCAAGCTTGACAAAGGATTGTCAATACATATTTTTACAATACAGGGGTGAGAGAATACAAGACTTAAATAGAGAAAATTCATTAGAAGAATGAGAAAGGGAAAGAAGATAATAGAGAGAGAAAAAGAGGGAGGGAAATACACAGACGACGGCTTACTGCCATTTGCGAAGAGGAAAGAGAGAGAAAGATCATAGATGGTGGCTTACTACTGTCTGTGAAAAGGGAAGAGAGAGAA